CATCAGCGACAGCCTTAAAGGGCGAAGCCTATATGAAATAGAACGTTGGTTACGTACTGTAACCCCAGATTTTATGAATATAGGCGTAGCCCTTTAAGCGTCGAGCCTCACTGGCTCCTAAATGGCTGAAGAAAAAAGCTATTTGGGAGCCGATTACCCGCTCTTAACGCAACTTATACGGACCAGGTGGGGCCCACACAGCAGGTGGGCGTGGACTAAACTTTTCAGTGTAATGCTTCACATAATGGGATAAAACCCATCAGCGACAGCCTTAAAGGGAAACGCCTATATTCATAGAATCTGGGGTTACCGTACGTAACCAACGTTTTCCTTTACTACAGACCTAAGAAGGCTATAATAAACAGAAACCTGAGGTCATCACTTTCTTTCGAGGAGGTAGCAATTTCTCCCCACAGGCACCCAAAAACCCAGTAGAGTTTTCTTCAAAGTTGTCACATGACCCACCTCTTGACACTGTCCAGATGTCCAAGTTTTAACGCATTTCTAACAAACAGCGACAGGTAATTACACCCGGAACGTCTTTCGGACTGAGCACATTTCTCGTAAAGATTCTACCGTCAGCAAAAATGACGTCACAGTTTTTACGTGGGGCTCTAAACCGTCAGCCACATTGTATCCTCTGTGTCTCTTAAATAAACAAACAACAATCTATATACAGGCATTTAAATCAACTGGACGAAGATAAATTTTAGAGCAAAATTAACGTTTCGCATGTTTATAACGCTCGCAGACCACTTCCGGTTAGCATTGTTGCTAACGCTTCTGGCTCGCTCCCCGTGCGCCCAGTCAAAAAAAACCATCACGTATATAAATTGTTATGTCCGATAAATACACTCACAAAATCAGTATTATACTGTAATGTTCTACTGCCTTTTAGTTCACTAAACTGCGTGCACCAGACCGAAAACAGAGCAGCATGAAGTCCTTAAGGGACACACAGAAATTTGATTTAACAGGTTTTCTGCTTACCTCATGTAAAAAGCTGGCTAGAAACAGTCTGCTCCGACTTGGTCACGTGCCGCTGTGTCACCATTAAACAATGAGAAACGAGCAGCTACCACTTCTAAAGACAGGAGACCGGGTTTCGGCAACAACTGTTAAAGACAGGAGCAGGCTGCGGGTCACCGGACCCAGAAACCACCTCCAGCCCACATCTTTTCCACCCAGCTCGAATCTCCCTCAGAAGTGGCAACTCATATTATCAATAAATCAAGGAAACGTCAATTCAGTTTTACCATTTGTATTAAAATCAAGGCAGGAAAAGGTTAGTTTTACAGCGCTGGTCTCTCAGGTCTGTGGCGTGTTCACAAATCCAGAAGAGTCCCAATGTCCCGTGTCATTACTCATTTATAGGGTCCTAGACTCCTCCTTCGCAGAAGGGGAGCTCAACCTGTCAGTGTATGAGGGGGCGTGACTAAGTGCGATCTCAATGGATCTTATGTGGTTCTGATGTGTTAGGAAATATGAGACGGTGCTTCAAAAGCCTTTCTATGTGATGTGGCAAGCAGATTAAACTCTATTCCTTGACTGATATTGAAATCCCAGGGAGACTCTCTTAGAGTTGCTGGCCCAGTCAGCAGTATGACCCAGTCAGAACCGGGTCATAATTTCATTATAATCCCGTCTCTGAGCAGATCAAAACCATAGGACCGGTCTAGATAAGAAATATTCAACAGCTTTCTGGACTTCACCCTCACTAAGCTTTCCCACTTCCTGGTCCACAGTTTTTATGGCCTCTACTCTTCTTTCTCTTTCATTCTCTTCATTCACTAGCTCCTCAAAGTACTCCTTCCATCTTCCCATAACACTCTCCTCACTTGTTTGAACATTACCAGTCTTATATTTAACAAGCCTAACCTGCTGCACACTATTTGTGGCCTGATCCCTCTGTCTCTGACAAGTCCTTCTCGCCCTCTTTAGTGTCCAGCCTCCCATACAACTTTTCATATGCCTTATGCTTTGCCTTTTCTACCTCCCTCTTTGCTCTACATCCCATCTCCTTATATTCCTGTCTCCTCTCTTCAGTCCTCTCACTGTCATATTTCTTCTTTGCTAATCTCCTTCTTTGAATATCTTCCTGCACTTCACTATTCCACCACCAGGTTTCCTTATCATCGATTCTGTCCAGATGACACACCAAGTACCTTCCTACTTGTCTCTCTAATTACTGTTGCTGTAGTAGTCCAGTCATCTGGAAGCTCTTTCTTACCACCCAGAGCCTTTAACAGCTCCTCTCTGAATTTCTCACAACATTCTTCCTTCTTCAGCTTCCACCATTTGGTTTTCTTCTCTGATTTTACTCTTTTTCTCTTCTTCACAACAACAGTAATGACCTTCACCATTTACCCAGGCGTGGGACCGGCACAAGAGATACACTGGCTTGTGCTCCCTAGTTAAACACATCTTAAACACACAAATGTAATTTATACCCTGCCCCTTTGCTGATTGTCTTTTTAGTTATCTTTGTATATTTGAGAAATAGTTTGGGTCATGAGTCTGCAATTTTTATATTGTCAATTGACACCAGAAACATTTGAGAACCATAGATCTGTTCTACTTTCTCTTCATACAGTCCTTTTTATATTCTCACTCACATGCTGATAATCATATGAGGGGCAAGGGAGGTTTTTCTCTCTTGCACAATGACACTTGAGCTGAATGTACTGCACATGACTTCTGTTCACAGCCCAGAAAAAGTAGCCAGACTGATTACAGTGTTTCCAGATGAGTGTCCCAGGTAGAGCTGTCATTTATAACCTGAATCCGAAACCCAGCCCAGACCGACCAAGATTAGGGCTGGGCTGGGTTGTTATAATGTGATTAATGGGCGGGCTGGGCCACTCTGGGCTTTGATGTGGTTTTATGAATCATACAGCAGAAATCAAACTAAATAATGTTGAACAATACAACACTGTGTTAGTCTACTTAAAGGAGGAGGTAGTAACAGTAAGTTTACTGATGAGGAATGTAAATAAATAAAACAGAGTGCAGAAGTTAATCAGACTGTGAAAAGAGAGCAGCACTGTGCAACAATTATGCATGGCCCCGCCCGCCCTGCTTTGCACCTCTTATAACACATCTGAGGGGGATTAACACTTGACCCGCACACAATTAAGTGACATAATGGAGCAAAAGAGTATAAAAGAAAATCTAAAAATGGTGCAAAGTCTGAGGTCTGGATTCTGGACCCTGACGCACAAAATGCTCCAGAAATGTTGAGACCATCGTGGCTGTGCAAAGCTCTTGTGCATTAAAGAAAACAATCTGGTCTATCTGCACAGCTCTTAAAGACTGTACTCAGATGGACGAGACAAGATTCAGCACTGTCTCAAGTCAGTGCAAGACGTTACAATGAGCTGTGTGAGAAGATGGCGTGGGGAGCAGGAGCGCATGGACAACGTCTCCTCCAACATGTTGGGCTTTATAATCACATTTCTAGAACCGTTTTTACGGTACACGCATTGGTGAAATGTCTTCTAGTTACATACACAGAGAACTGGAGGGTGACAAATATCCCACTATCAACCTTGTTTGCCTCTGAGAAATTGAAGCAACACTGCCAGTCCTCACACATGTACAGACTCGCGTTTGTGTGCCACATGCAGAAGTACTGGAGCGCAGAATCATTATCCACGACTTAGGAGCCGTTTACATGGCGCATATTTTGAGTGAACCCGCTCCTTTCTGTCTGCGGAGCTGCACTTTTTCTGTGGCCTAATTTTAACAAACTTAAATTGATGACACCTGCAGTGCTGATGCATGTCAGGTGCACACTCACTCAGGTCCGTGCTGCTCTCAGCTGGCCGCACAGCAGAGGACTGCTCTCTAGCGCAATATTGTTTTTACATGACAAACCATGTAGACTAAGTAGAAGAACACACAATAACTTCTTGACAGCTTTTTAAATATATTTCTAATTTTATATTTATGCAAATTGGGTCTAATTATTTTGCAGGTTCATAGCTGAAGAAACGAGGCTGACGACCCGGCACAAACTGAGCCAGCTGGATATATGCTCTTTTTATTTAGTTCATGTTTGTGCAATTCTTATTAATATATTTTTTAAATAATTTTTATTGTTCTTTATCACTCCCATTATTGTTGCAATTCAAGATTGTGCAATATTAGTTTACAGATGTTATTTTCCATCCATCCATCTTTACCCACTGTCTGTTATTTGTTATAGATTTTTTGTTTATCTTTACCCACTGTCTGTTATTTGTTATAGATATTTTGTTCATTAAAGTATTAGCATAAGCACTGTTGTAGAATGTAGGCCTTTTCAATTTATTTTTCATGCATGCACCAGTTTTATTCTGTGGTTTTGTGCGGGTGAATGTTAAATTGCTCTGTCATCCGCGACAGCATGACTCAGCTTAATTTTGCACGGCTTTCTTTTATATCTAAATTAAAATAGTTGTTCCACTATACTTGTTCTATATTTTTCCAAATATTTCGCTCTAAAAAAATTTTTGTTCATCTGTATAATAGCCTATCTTTAGAGTTGATTTTTTTTAGGCTATTCATTTTGAATGTTAATATTCATTTGGTGACATGTTAATAAAAATAAATCTTATATCTTCCTTTCTTTACATTTTTAAAACTATCTTGTCATACTGATTTGCTTACAAAAAGCAGTAAAAGCTTAATAAAAAAAAGTCAGTTTATTTTTTTCAGGTTCGGCCCTCTAATTACCGATATTATCCATTCAGTCTGGGTGGAGCCTGGGTTGGGGGGGGGGGACTACGGGCTTGGTTCGGGCCGGGTGAGATTTATTAGGCCTGAATGCAACTCTAGTCTCAGGCCCTTAGTGCTTCCTAAGCTGATTTAACAATGATCAGAGGATTTGGTGACCTGCTGGAACAGTATGTGCTGTGAAAACACTCCCACAGTAATTTGAACACTTGCACACAGGAAGAAAAGGAGAGTTGTTTCCATTCAAACTGCTCTGAGAATAACAAACATCCTCTGTTTGACAGGGAGCATCTGGATGCAGCAGATCCTGGTGCTCCTGGAGGCTAAAGGAGATGTGACCGCCATCAGTGAGACCAGTCAATGCAATATTGAGCTTATCCCTTGGATTGAGGTGATTGGGAACAGGCTGCCATTTATCAGTGCTCCCTCACCCAGGCTGAGAGTCACCCACCTACTGCATCACTTCATGCCTCCAGCTCTGAACCACAAGAAGGGCAAGGTCAGCCAATTCATTAGATCACTTCAATCATTTAAAGTTGTTTTTTGACATGTAGGTAATGACTGATGCCCCATGGAGGTACTGTGAGCAGTCATTCAAAGTTGTATAACTTGTCTTATGAAATTACAGTTTTACCTGCTTGTTAAATTTTTACGGTACACGCATTGGTGAAATGTCTTCTAGTTACATAATTGCTGACATTAAAGAAATACTGAACATAATACACAAAATTAGTTTTGAAGGAGACATTCCACGTCATAAGGTCACACAGTAGACAACTCTACAGCCTGCGTGTGCAGTCTAGCTGCCATACTGGAAGATAAGTTCCTTTGAATATGCACAAGTGAAAGGGAAAATACAATAAAGAGTGACTGGACTTGATACAACCAAAAAGGTCAACTTTTGTGTAATTTTCAGCTGGTCAAATACATCAAAAAGAGCTAATTTTAAAAAAGTCACCTCAGAATCCCTGTCATGACAAACTAAGAAGAACAAACTCATAAACTGAAGCGATCAGTCTTGGAAAAGCAGACCTATCAACTACAAACATCAATCGATGCAGAATGTGCTTTGATCATTTTGTTGGAGGTGCGTTTACTTGTGCACTTTCTTAATGAAATTAGAGTGTTGGTTATAAGAATAACAATGCAATTGGCAGCACAAAGGATCAGTGGTTAGCACTGTTGCCTCACAAAAAGAAGGTTCTGGGTTCAATCCCAGGTTGGACCTGCTGTCTTTCTGTGTAGAGTTTGCATGTTCTTCTCGTGCTTGTGTGGGTTTTCTCCGTGTACTCCGGTTTCCTCCCACAGACCAAAAACATGCATGCTAGGCTGCCTTCAGGCCCAGACCTCCCTTGCAAAATAGATCTGCGATCTCAGTGGGATTTGTCTGATTAAATAAAGGTAAAATAAAATAAAATAATGAAAAATATAGTGGATTTTTTTTTTTACAGTGAGCAAATGCTCACTGCATCACTGGATAGAATGAGCAAATCCACTTGTGTAGTATGTACTGTGAGAACGATAAACATAACACCCACCCTGGTTGTCAAAATGTAGTAACCTTTTTCAATAAAACACATGTTTTCCACACTTAGCCATTCATATACTGTATATTTAGCCCCTTGTCCCTGAAAGCACTCAACATATTTTGTTTTGGTAATGCATTTTTGGGGGGTTTGTGTCCATCAAACTCAATAAATTAATTAATATTGCAGATAAGAAGTTGTTGTTAATCCGTCATTGCTCTGTTAATGTGCTTTCTTTGTATATGGCATATGTCATATGTAATATGACAGAGACAATCCTGTGTAGTCCTACTGAATAAGAGATAAGATCAAATAAGATAAAATGAGATACTTTATTAATCCCAAGGGGGACATTTGAGGCATCAGTAGCATTTTTCATTGTATTTAAAAAAACATATCAATAATCAAAAAAGCAGAATGCATAAATTTGAAAAAAGACAAATATGCACAGTCACAAAGTGGCACTACATTCATG